GGCACCCCTGTGCACCTTGGGGTGCTCTTCTGTCCCTAGCGACTCCCCCATGGTCAGACTCAGCTCTGATGCTGGGGGTCCTTGTCTCCCAGTGCTCTTCTCTGGGCTGGTGACACCTCCCAGGCTCTGCTGCTGGAGCAGAGAAGATGTTATGGCCTGATGTAGACCCTGGGGTTCCTGAGAAGAGCTGGCTGGAGCCCAGGTCTCCCAGGGCTGGTGGTGAGAAGCCACCATGGCCTGGAGAGCATCTTCTGCAGGGGCTTCCCTGCCCGAGAGGCTTTGGGGAACCCGTGGGGCTCCATGCAGAGCCCCTCTGGAGGCAAGGGCCAGGTTGGCAAACAGATGGCAAAGGGAGACTTTGCAGGGAAAAAGCTCCGTGGATGGAGTATCCTGAGGGATCAAGGGACTTGGGCAAAGCGGATTACAGCAGAGGCCAGAGCTCAGCCCGACTTCTCAGTCCTCCYGTCCCTGCTCCTTCCCCTCCCCATGGTCTTGCATCCAAAGCTGAGCCCGGCTATAAATAGAGCCCAGAGGCRGTGTGATCATCAGAGGGCTTCGCTGACATCTGAGGCCAGCGTGCAAGCAAGGAAGTGAATCAAAAGCATGTTAATTATAAGCTCCATTAGAAACATGAGGGGAAAGAAAATCACCTTTAATTGCTAAATGCAATAGATGAAAATCAGCATGGAAAGCAAAGCTGATATTTGGCTGCGAGAGGAGCGTTACAAGAGTTCATAAATAGTGGGAAGCTGTAAACAAGCATATGAATCCATGTGGAATGTGCTTGGAGGAGGCCTCTTGTCCCCTCCTGCACATCCTCTCCCTTCCTGGGCTGCTCGTGGAAGAAGGGGGCTCAACTTTTGGGTCAAGCGTGGGGCAGGGAAGCCCAGTTTGCCCAAGAACATGCAAAGCTGGGCCCAGGGCTGGGGTCTCCTTTCTGTAGACGAATGATGATGCAAAGTGGTGGTGCAAAGAGTCTAGCTGGGCTGGTGCTAGGTGGGAGAGAGGCTCCCTGCTCCTTTCCCTTGCTGAAGAGGAGGAAACCAGGGATGTGCAAACACATCCAGCTGGCTGCACATTAAATGGAGATATGACCTGAAAATGCCTCCTCTTGGGCCTCTTTCCAAGGTGGAGAAAATTTTCATAAAAGATATGAGCCTTATGCATGTGGGGAACAAACCTGAGCCTTCAGGACAGCTAGCAGTACTGTGCAGCATTTCCTCAGTTTGGCCTCAGCTCGCTGACCTTTCAAGGCAAGTCAACGCTACCAAAGCGGGGTTTTTCTTCAGCTAGTTGGACAAATTCAGGGGTTTAGACTCTTTGTAAGCTGAGGCCTTGCCAGCCTCACTGCTGTGCAGGGCTGCTGTGCCCTGGCATCTTCTCTGTCAATACATTTCCCAAGCTCTTTCAGCACAAAGCATCCAGGTCTTCTGCATGTTGAGCTCTTGGGGCTGAATTACAACTCCTGTTCTGTCAGAGGAGACCTCCTTTCACTCCGTAGACAGAAGACATCTCTTTCAGATGTATAATTGCTCTTGAATCTGTGTTATTTAAGTAAAGGTGGAGCAATAGGCGCAGAAAGTGATTCACCCAAGGCCCCATAGCAGAGACAGGGACAGAGCCCGAGTTCCTGCTGTGTCCAATACTCTGATGTAGCTGGAAACCTTCACTCATCCTCATACAACCAGAGGATTTACTCATCCTCATGTACGAGGATTGACTCATCCTCATACAACGCAGAGCCCRTGAACCTTGGCCCAAGTCCTTCCTACGAGTCCCGCTGGGCACATGCCCTGGCCCATCTCCTGCCAACAGCAGCAGCGGGGCAGGATGACGAACGCACCTTTCCCTGGCTGGGCAGTCAGCCGCAGGTCGAAGCGGGAAGCGGCGAGCCGGAGGCATCAATCGCGGCGAAGCACCTTTGTGGCTGCTGGCGGCCGGCGGGGAGGAAGTTAAGGGCTTGTTTGCACCCAGCCGGTGAGTGCGTCAATTGAGATGCGGAGATAAAAGTAATAAAGGGCCTTCCACTTAGGCTCACGTACAAGCCAAGCCTGGCTGCAGCGCTCGCGCGAGGTGCACGGTGGCTGCGGCAACGGCGATTTAGTTCCCAAGGTTTCCTCGAGTGCCCCGGCTCCCTTCCGCCTCGGGCTGAGGCCTGTCGGACTCATAGCAGCTGTCCCCATGGCTTTCCAGCTGAGCCGCCTTCGCAGTTTGTTTRTTTGGGGCTTCAAAGCGAAGCCGGGATGCACCGGCGTGTGGAGCGGGCCAAGGCGGCAGGCCAGGGGAACCGCTGACTCCAAAAGAAAGCGGGCCTTTCTCTGCGTAATGCTCCATGAAATTGTTCAACAGGAGCGTATCTGGAGAATTAAATGGATCAGACAGAAGGGGAGAAAATGCGTTTTGATTATTTTCTTTTAATCTTGATTTTTCTTTTTTTTCTTTTTTTTTTTTTTTTCCCCACCCTTTTTGTCTGGGGAGAGAAAAGCTTTTTGATCATCGGGAAAGGAGGTCATTCCTCCGCCGAGGAGGCAGCAATCACAGCAACAGCGCAAACAGGTTGCGCGCGGGCTCTGCCAGGGAGGAGGCACCAGGGAAGCGCGGCAGCTGCCCGGCGGGATGCTCCCTGGCGGGATGCTCCCGGCGGAGGCCGCGCTYGGAGCTCCGCGGCCTCCCGCTCGCTGTCTTCGGGAGGCAGCTTTGCCCACGCAGGAGCTCGCTGGTGCCCGGAGAAGCTGCAYGAGCTCCTCGCTGGGTCATTTCACCTCGCTCTATACTAGGGCTGAGCCAAACTAGCAACTCCATCCCGGGCAGCTCCTCACTCTGTCCCCGAGATGATGCTCTCTTGGTCAGGAGTGCAGCGCGTGACACCACATTCTATATACATTTTGTGTGTGTATATATATATATATATATATATATATATATATATATATATAAGATAATAATAGAAAACTTGTATTGAGGCAATTAAGTCGCTAAATAATATAATTGCTTTGGGTTCAAATGAATTAACAGTACCGGCAATTGCTGTGTTTTATGGGGAGCTGCAGGCAGGATGGCCAGGTTCCGGGGTCCACAGTAGGGTCTTGGAAAGCAGCATTGTGATCCCCGTGGGGAGCCGGGAGGGAGCACCCCACGCAGGGACCCGAGGGGACTGTCCCCAGCCCTCATGCCTTGGTTTCCTTGGGTGTTTGATGGGGACGCAGACACTCTCGGAGACGTAAGGGCAGAAAACGTGGGTGACTCTCCAGGCTGTTGTGCCCTTGACCTCCCCGTCACTTCCCGGCTCCATCCGCCTCCCTCTGTCACCGATGCCGGGGGCCGCCCCAAGCTGCTGTCCCCCACGCGAGCCGGTGGCCACGCAAGCGCGGGCCTGTGGCACCATCTAGCGGGCGCAGGGTCCCGCGTGGGCCGGCCGTCCTCCGCGCCCCAGCACCCCGATTTGGGCCAGGCCGGGGGGAGCCGGGCGCTTCCCGCCTTCCCCGCAGCCGGGCGCACCATTCCCGCGGGATGCCCAGCGCTGGCGAGCGGCCGGCTTGGCCCCGCGCTCCCTCCTGCGCTGCCCCTTGCAGCAACGCCGGTATTTCCAGGCCCCCGGGGGACGGGAGGAGCGCGGGCGGCCCCGGGAAGCAAATCCCCGGGAGCAGAGAAGCCCTCGGGGATCGCGGYGAGGCCGGCCCGGCCCCATGGGGTCCCCCTGCGCCCCCCCCCGCATCCCGGCGCTGTCCCCGGAGCCGGGGCTGGGAGCGAAATCAGCAGCAGGAGGGGCGGGAAAGGAGAAAAGAGAAAAATATCCGCCCGCAAAGCGCCCGTCTGTGTGGTCGGGTCTTAAAGCGGCAGCCGAGCAGCTGTGCAGGGGTTTGCTAAGGGGGGAAAAAGCCCAAAGACCCATTTCAGCTGTTATATCGGAGATCTTTGTGCTGCAAAACCTCAGTCTTCCCCTGCCCTCCCTCCTCTTTCCAGTGGGTTGCTCCCAAGTGGCAGCGGTCCTGGCAGCCGGGCCCAGGCGTCCGGGCTCAAACTCTTGGGCTCCCCCAACGGTGCAGCGAAGAACGGGGGGCAATTCCTCCAATATTTCTCACGGCGTCACCATCCGTGCAAGTTATTTGATGTTTACGCCTTCATTCCCACTGGAGTTAGTGAGTGTTGCGGTATGCAAAACCTGCATGGCTTTGGGGCACAAGGGTGTGGAATTGGCCCCAAAATGGGGAGAAATCTGGGGGTGGAAGTTCCCTTTTGGCAAGGGGGGTTTGCTGCTTTTCCCTTAGGTGAGGAGGCTGGTGCCGGCAGCGGTAGGTCCATCAGCAACCCCTCTCCATACCCAGGCTGGGCCCTCAGCTCCGGGTGGGTGGGAGTGTTTTGGGGGGGTATTTTGCAATTTGCACCAGCTCCCGAGGGGTTTAGCTCAGCTTCTGGAGGCATTTTCCCCTCCCGTAGCTCCGGGGCGGGGGGGCCCCCGTGGGGCTGGGGACAGGGCTGTGGCTGCGGGTGGTGGGACCGGCATCCCCAGGGGGGCCGCGTGGGGGGCCGGCGCGTGGGGCGGCCGTGGGTGTGCGCAGCGGCCGTGCGCAGGGCGGCCGGTTGCCTCTAGGACCCAGCAAGGCGCATGGGCTGGCCCGAAACCCTCCAAACTTTTCCTTTTTTTTTTCCCCCCGCTCCGCAGCCTCTCGCTTATTCATTGAGCTGAGCAGCGAATCCCTCCAGCGCGCGGCGAGCCAGCGCGCCGGAGCGGGAGGAAGGGACATCCCAGCGCGGGGCCGCCGCTGCCGCCGCCATGTGAAATCCGCCCCGCGCCGCTGCAGAGCCAGGACCGGCGCCCGGGGGCTGCCTTTCCCGCTCCGCGTCCCCCCTCGCCGCTCCCCATGCGTCCCGACGGGAATGGGCAGCGCTAGCGCCGCGGGCCCGGGGAAGCCGCCGCGCGGAGAGGAAGYGCCGCGGGGCCGGCGGCTGCGGGCCGCCTTGTGCCGGGGTGCCGGGCGCCGCTAGAGGAGCCGGCCACCATGGCGGGCGGCTCGTGGGGGCTCTGGGCGCTGCTGGCGCTGCCGGCGCTGCTGGCGCGGGCGCAGCGGGCGCCGGGCGCCGACGAGCCCTGGCGCCAGCTCATCCAGTGGGAGAACAACGGCCGCCTCTACAGCCTGCTCA